AGAAGTGCCACTTACCACTATGGGCATTCCACCATTACCCCATGGGCTTATGCCAACATGCCTCCAGGGGCTCCCCTGCCTGACCTCACCTAGCCAGATGTCATGGAATATGGGAAGGATACCACACTGATGGTTTTGATCCCTGGGGACTCCATCTGAGTTGAAGCAAGAATTTATATACACACCTGAAGAACATGCATAGGTTCATGAAGAACATGTACAGGAAAAAGGGTCAATGCCACCTGGAATACTGGGCTCTATCTTGCCTTTGTTTTATATCCTGCCCCTTGTCTGTGTAGGAGGAGTCAAATGTGAATGCACTGGGGCAAGGACACTTTCAGAGTGGGCAACTATCAGGCCAAAGAAAGCCACTGGTCCATCACATCCCTGGTTTTGGGCCCTCCAATTCCATTCCTGAATACTGTGCCTGCTGACACAGCTTAAAGGTGTAAATCTTGAACCTCTTGACATACCCAGGAAAACTGGGCCCACCATGCCAACCTAACAGCCACTGACACTCCGGGGAAACAATCAATCTTGGCACCTACTTTGCTCACAATGGACCTGCCAACAGGGCAACAAGGAAACTGGGAGCTTACATGAGAAAACTGCACTTGCCTGAAAGTGGGGTCCACAATGAAAAGTGGCTCCTTGGGCCCCGCAACAGAGTCCCTGAGGCACACCTGAACTGCCTCTGGGGGACTCAAGAGTGCACTTACTTCCTGGGCTACAGCCAAGGCACAGGCCCTTAACTTGGAAAACATGCCAAGCTACTCCAAAACCCAAAGTTACAGAGCTAGACACTTTATATCAACTGGGACACTCACCATGAAGCTTTGAAATTTCTTTAGCCAGGAATATCACAGACGTAACCCAGAGACATACTGAGACCCGGGTCCTCCAGGAACAATGTGACACCCATAGCCATGCCATGAGAAAACCCAACAAACAGTTGTGACCACAATCCTCACTGATTCTCTGGACTGAGGCCAGGCATGCCAGAGACCATGAGCTCATTGTACCAGCTGGTGGCATGTCAAGATGACCCATCCCCCAGACAGCCTCTCCTGACCCTAAACCTGCAATCTCTCCTTAGCAGCCAACTCCCCTGTTCCTACAAGGTCCCACCCAATGACCTCTGGGAAGAACTCCAACCTTTAGGGAAGGCTAGGAGGGCTGGGTAGAAAAAAATTTAGGATGGCCTAAGGAACAACTTCACAAGGTCAACACAGAGAAAATGTAGCCAGATGGGGACCTCATGCCTCATAATCAGCACACAGGTCAAGACATGATACAATACTACAATAACAAACATTCAGCACCATGAAGACACAAAGTGAAGGAAGTTAATCAAAAAGAGGCCAAATAGGGTACAGTCCCTGAATCTGTTTCCCTAGGCCTTCCAGACACTGAGCACAAATGCACTGAAGGCAACCAAAAGAGCTCAGGGAGCCCTCTAGACTCGCTGACACCTCCACTCACCAGTCCAGCCATGGGTTCACCGCTCATTCCACACACATTCACCACCCTCTCACCTTTCAACTGCCCCGAAATACACCTGCCTCAGAGCCAATGTGCCAGACTCTCCCATTAACACAGAATATTTATTACCTCAAAACATTTTCCAGGCCCACTCTCCCAGCACTCATGTTCACTCACATACGAGTGGGACACAACCCAAAAAGGGGACATAGGCTTGGACAACGTGCTGGGGACAGTGACTGATGTTCTCCAACCATCAGGAGAAACTTACTCTGTATCCTTTCTCTCCAGTAGAACATGACATAGAAGACCAACCTAGGCGAGGACTCCTGTTCTGACTCTGAGTGTAAAGATTATGGTTTCCTCTAAGAGACAAGGCAACAACCGAGTGGAGGCATGAACACAGTGGCAGCCCAGAGGCTCTCAAACAACTCCTGCATCCTCTGCTATCTCACCCTCACCCACAGCAGGAGACCACAGTCCTGACTAGGCTCATAAACCCAGACCAGACATGCTGTCTACAGGCATCCAAAGAGGATGGGAGCCCCAGGCTCCTCTTCCCATGAGATGGCTGTCACCCTCAACTTACACAGTGAAGCTGCTGAAGCACAAGGAAACAAACGCAACTTGGCATTCTCTCTATTTTCCCTGTGGGAACCACACACTGGAACTTAATTCCAATGAGGAGACCATAGGGACTGCTCACTCATTTTGTTTAGATTTCCAAGGAATGCATTTGAGGCAGTCAATACAATCCTACCATGTACTCAGACACTGGATGTGGAAAGTTGTGGCTTCTACCTTAGGACTGTAGGCGAGCCCAATCTCATCAGCATTTGGGACCGCCCAGAGCCAAGACAAGGGTAGGAATTGTAGTCAAGCCTCAGGCCATGGGACTTGAAGGCCAGAGAGTAAGCACAGAAGGTAAGGGTGCAACCCCAGCACCCAGAGGCCTGTAGACAAACCACTCGGTTTTGGGAAAGAACGCCACTTACAACCATGGGTGTTCTACCTGTATCCCCATGGGCTGCATGTCCACTCAGATATGGGGGATCACTAATTTCACCTGGGCTCACCTCCACAAGCCAAGTGTCACAGAATATGCAAAAGGTTATCTGTGGCAATGGTATTCCAAGTTGGTGACTGAAATTAACTTGAGGCAAGAAAATATCTGCAGGCTTGAAGAATAGCAACAGGCACATAGCAGACAGAGGCAATGCTCACAGGAGAGTTGAGATTCATACTGCCATCTATGACTCAACTGCTGCAACTCTGTTTTGTGTGTCAGAAGCCAAAAATGAATGCATTGCTATAGGGAAAAATTCAGTGTCAAGAGGTCAACAGGACAAAGTGCCAATGTTCTGTCAACTCACTGGTCTCAGAGTCTGCAAATCCACTCTTCTTACCATCACTGACAGCACAATGTAAAGATAATCTCTAAGAATCCCTAACTCACCCTTGGGGGAAGGAGGCCACCTTGTCTGAATTACCACTGTTCCTCCAGGAAAACAAACACACTCTTGGCACCTACTCTGCTCACAACGGTCTCACCACCATGGGGAAGGAGCAAAGGTATTTGAGAGCTTGCACAAGAATAAGACCCTCCTTTGACAGGGAGATTATCCATGAAACTATTTCTTGGGCTGTGCAACAAAGGGGCTCCATAGTACAGCTGTGAACAATCTGGGTGGCACATGAGTGTACTTGCTTCCTGGACTACAGCTGTGCTACAGGCATTTAGCTTGAAATATACAAAAAGCTATAGGCCATTGGGACCATTCTGAAATGCAAAGATGTGGGGCTCCACCCTTTACAGCACTTAAGTTGCTCATCGTGATGTACTGCACTTTTTAAGGTAGTAACATCACTACAGTGGCCCCGGAAACAACACAAGACCCAGGTGATCCACGACCATCCTGACAGCACAAGCCATGCCATGACAGGATCCAGAAACAGCCGTGGCTGCTGAACCCATGATGATGTCTCTGGCTTGCGGATAGGAATGCAAGAGACCACAGTGTTGCTGCACCAGCAGGCCACGAAACAAAAAGACCACTGTGCCAGAAAGCCTCTCCTGTCCTTAAGACAGCACCTGCTTATGTGGGCAACTGACTCCTCTGTTTCTATCGGGTCCAGCCCACTGAATTTCAGGAAAAACTCCTAAACTTGGGAAAGGATAGGTGGGCTGGATATAGGAATGACATGTGGATGTCCCGAGGCACACCTTATGCCATGCACAGAGGGAGAACATGGAAAGATGGAGAGAAAACATCCCCTTTGCCTCATAATTGGCCATCAGGACAAGACAGGACATGATACCAACCACTTGCGGATCTGGAGTTCCGCCACAAAGGAAACCGATTATGGGAGAGGAAAACTTGGATGGTCCATAAATCTGCCACTGTTGTCCTTCCTAGTACTCATTCCAAATGCACTTAAGGAAACACAAAGAGTCCATGAAACCTGACTGAAAAATTTATCCATCCACCTGCTTACTCACCCATTGGTTCAACCACCATTCCGGGCATATTTCCTGCTGTCCAAGCTTTCCTCACTTCCTGCCAACCACCCGCATCAGGGAAAGATGCCGGACCTTCCCATCAACATAGGATTCTGATTTCCTTGGAAAGGCACTAAGGCACCTTCCAGATTCAGCCTCCTAACACCTGTGCACACTCACACACGAAACAAAAGAAATTATACAAGAAGGGTCCATCAGCTTGCCCAAACTCCTGGACACTATGCTCATTTACTTCTTCAAATATCAGGAGAAAACTATGTAGCATCCTATTCCCCAGGAGAACATGAAAGAGAAGTCTGGCTGAGGCCACAACTCCCATTCTGAATCTGAACAAAAACAATTTGTTTTCTCCAGGGGACTAGACAATGGGCAGGCAGAGGCCTGAGGAACTCAATATCAGCCCAGAGGCCCACAAATGGCTTTCACTTTCTATGCCACAGCACTTTCACCCACAGCAAAAGACAATAGCTTTGGCAAGTCTTGTGCAACCAGGGACAACACATGGTCTCTAGCTGTCCCCTGAGGATGGGAGATGCAGGCCCTTTTCCCCATGGCTCACCTACACACCACAAGGTTGTCACTCTCAGCTTCCACGCTGTTGCCGCTGATGCCCTAGGGAGCAAAGGCAATATGACCCTGTCCATTCCATCCCTCTGGGAGCTACATGCTAGACCTTAGTTCCAAAGAGAACATGATAAGGATTGATAATTCATTTTGTCAGATTTTCAAGGTTGCCTTTGTGGGAATCATCATCCATCTAAGTGCATGTGCTCAGATGCTGAATGAGCAAAGCCGGGACCTCTACCCCAGGAAAGCCAACAATCTCAATCACTTCAGCAGTTGGAACTGCACAGATCCCAGCCAAGAGGCAGGAACTACAGCCAAGCTGTGGGCCATGGGACCTTGCGTGCACCAGGAAAATACAAAGGTGAAAAAGCAGATACCACACCCAGAGCCCTATGGCCAAACCAGGTTTACGTGAAGAAGGGCCACTTACAGCCATTGGTGCTCCACCTGGACCACTACAGCCGTGTGTCCAGTGGCCTGTGGTGGCTCGTAGGCCTCAACTTTCCAGGCTGGGAGTCATGGAATATGTAACGCGTCCCCTGGTGCCAATGGTCTTCCATCCTGGGCCACTCAATCTGCCTTGAGGCAAGAAAAAACATGCAAGCATGAGGAAGAGAGACAGGCATACGAGGGAAAGAGGCAAGGCCCCCAGGAGCATTGCCCTCACACTTGCATCTACCATTCAATTGCTGCACCTCAATCTGGTATGTCAGAAGCCAAACACGAATGTGGATTGCTTCAGATTCAAGGGGCCATCAGGACAAAGAGCAACAATCTGTCAACCCCCTGGTCTTGGGCCCTGCAATTCCTCTCCCCATGCCATCCCCACCAACACAGCTTAAGGATGTCCTCCATGAATCCCCAAGATGCCCTCAGGGGAACAGGGGCCCCTTGGTCTAATAGCCACTGCTGTTCCAGAGGAACACACCCACTCTAGGCACCGAGTCTGCTCACAAAGAGCATGCCAGTGGGGAAAGGAAAAAAGTTTCTGAGGGTTTCCTCTGGGAGACACGTGCTGGACCTCAGTTCCGATGAGGAGACGGTAGGGATGGCTCACTCATTTTGTTCAGATTTCCAAGGAATGCATTTGTGGGAGTCATCATCGATCCAAGCACGTGTGCTCAGGAGCGACATGAGCAAAGTCGCCACCTCCATCCCAGGAAGGTCAGTGAGCTTAATCATGTCAGCATTCGGGAGTGCACAGATTGCAGTCATGTGGCAGGAACTACAGCCAAGCCTCGGGCCCCGGGACCTTGCATGCCCCAGGGAAACCCCATAAGGTGAGGGCATGGATCCCATGCCCTAATCCTTGGGGCCAAACTGCTAGGTTTCCTCAAAGAAGGGCTGCTTACCGCCATGGGTGATCCACCTGTACATCGAAGGGCCAATTTCCAGAAGTCCCTGGGGGCTTGCATGCCTCATCTTGCCAGGACAGTTGTCATGGAATATGTGATGGGTTCTCTGTTGCAAATAGTCTTCCATCCCAGGTCACTCAAGGCCACTGGCTTGGGGTGAGAAAACACACACATGTGTGAGGAAGAGCAACAGACATACTGGGGAAAGAGGCAAAGCCTCCAGAAGTGCTGCTCTCCTTCTTGCATCTACCATTCAATTGGTGCACCTCAGTCTGGTGTGTCAGCCGTCAAAGATGATACATGGGTGCACGGATACCTTCAGAGTCAAGGGGCCTGCAGGACAAAGACTGCCAATCTGCCAACTCCCTGGTCTTGGGCCCTGCAATTCCGCTCTTCATGCCGTCCCTGCTGACACAGCTCAAGGATGTCCTCTGTGAAGCCCTGAGACACCCTCAGGGGACTGGGGCCCCTTGGCCTAACAGACACTGCCCTTCTAGGGAATCACACCTGTTCTTGCCACATACTCTGCTCACAATGGACTGCCCAGCACAGGGAAGGATAAAAGGTATCTGAGGGCTTCCACAACAATAAGACCCTTCCCTGACAGGGAACAGATCCACGAAAAATGTCTCTTTCAGTCCTGCAACAAAGGGGCCCTGATGGACATCTACGCTTAGCCCAGCTGACACACGAGCATGCTTTGCTTCCTGGCCAAAAGCCATGCTAGAAGGCCTTCCTTAGGCACCATGAAAAGATGTAGGCCATCGGAGACTTCCTGAAGTGCAAAGATGCTGGGGCTCCACCCTTACAGCAACTGGGTCACTTGCCATGCTACCTTGCTCTCTGTAAGGCAGTAACATAACTGCTGTGAACCCACACACAGCATGACTCAGGTCGTCCACAACCATTCCGACACCACCAGCCAGGTCATGACACAAACCAGTAAAGAGGCGAGATGACTGAACCCACATGACACCTCTGGCCAGAAGCCAGGCATGTAGGAGAGCACAGCCTCGCTGAACCAGCAGACTGCATGACAAAATGAGCCCCACACCAGACAGATTCCCCTGCCCTTAAAACTGCAGACACTCACAGGAGCATCTGACTCCCATTTCCATGGGGTCCTAGCCCCTGAGTTCAGGGAAGAGCTACTAAACTTGTGCAAGGATAGGTGGGATGGGTACAGAAATGACGCTGGGATGTCCTGAGGCAGAGCATCATTCCATGCACACTGGAGAATGTGGCGCGATGGAGAGAAAATATCCCCTCTGCCTCATACGTGGCCTGCCTGATAGCTCAGCTGGTAAAGAATCTGCCTGCAATTTAGGAGACTGTCCTTTGATTCCTAGGTTGGGAAGATCTGCTGGGGAAGGGATAAGCTACCCACTACAGTATTCTTGGGCTTCCCAGGTGGCTCAGATGGTAAAGAATCCGCTGGAATATGGGAAACCTGGGTTTGATCCCTGGGTGGGGAAGATCCCCTGGTGAAAGGAAAGGCTACCCAGTCCAGTGTTCTGGCCTGGAGAATTCCTGGAGAATTCCATGCAATGGATAGTTCACACTTGGCCCCGAGGTCAGGACAAGATACAGTGCCATGTTGGAAACCACTACTGGCTCAAAGCCTGTCACAAAGGAAACCAACGATGGGAGAGGCCAACTGTTGGATGGTCCTTGAACCTATGAATCTGCCACTATGATCCTTCCCCACACTCACTCCAACTGTATATGAAGGCAACCCAGACTTTAGGGAACCTGACTGACTGGCTGATCCATCCACACATCCATCCACCCATGGGTTCTTCCACCATTCGAGGTGCATTTCAAGATCTCCAAACCTTGCTCTCCCCCAGCATCCACCCACCTCAGGGCAATGTGCTAGTCCTCCTGTTGACACAGGATTTTTATCCATGGTATACCCTAGTGCAATTTCCAGGCTCAGTCTCCCAACACCAGTGCCCATGCACACCAACCAAAGAAACGATCAGATGAGGGGCCCTCAGCTTGGCCCACCTTCTGGACACTCTGCCCATTGATCTCCTCTCACTATCAGGAGAAAACTACGCAGCAATCCATCCCCAGAAGAACGTGACACAGAAGCCTGGCCGAGGCCACGACTCCTGTTCTGACCCTGAGTGAAAACGCTGTGCTATCTGCCAGCGACCAGGCAGTGGGTGCACGGAGGCCCGACAAACTCAGTGGCAGCCCAGATGCTCTCAAATGGCTTCTGCTTCCTCTGCTACCCTCACTCTCATCCACACCAGGAGACAAAAGGCCTGGATAGCTCGTGCACACAGAGACAATTTGTGGCCTCCAGTCATAACCCAAGCATGGGAGATGCAGCCCCTTTCCCTGTGGCTCACCTCCACGTCACAAGGCCATCACCCTCAGTTTGCACACTGTGGCTGCTCACGCCCCAGGGAGCAAATGAATGTGACCCTGACTCTTCGATTCCTCTGGGAGCCACGTGCTGGACCTCAGTGCCGATGAGGAGACGGTAGGGATGGCTCACTCATTTTGTTCAGATTTCCAAGGAATGCATTTGTGGGAGTCATCATCGATCCAAGCACGTGTGCTCAGGAGTGGCATGAGCAAAGTCGCCACCTCCATCCCAGGAAGGTCAGTGAGCTCAATCATGTCAGCATTTGGGAGTGCACAGATTGCAGCCATTTGGCAGGAACTACAGCCAAGCCTTGGGCCCTGGGACCTTGCATGCCCCAGGGAAACCCTAGAAGGTGAGGGTGTGAATACCATGCCCAGATCCCTGGGGCCAAACCACTAGGTTTCCTCAAAGAAAGGCTGCTTACCACCATGGTTGTTCCATCTGTACATTCAAGGGCCACTTGTCCAGTTGCCTCTGGGGATTCGTGAGACTCATCTCGAGGGGCTGGGTGTCATGGAATACAGAACAGGTAACCTGTTGCCAACAGTCTTCCATCTTGGGCCACTCAACCTGGCTTGGGGCGAGAAAACACATGCATGCATGAGGAAGAGCACCAGGTGTACGGGAGAAAGAGGCAAGGCCTCCGGGAGCATTGCCAATCATTCTGGCATCTACCATTCAATTGCTGCAATAAGGTGTGCTGTGTAGGCAGCCAAAGAGGGATGTGTTGGTGTGTGGATACATTTAGAGACAAGGGGCCATCAGGACAAAGAGTGCCAATCTGCCAACTGCCTGGTCTCAGGCCTGCAATTCCACTCCACGTGTCATCGCCGCCAACACAATTTAAGGATGTCCCCCAAGAACCCCGAGACCCCCCTCAGGTGAATGTAGTCCCATTCGCCTAACAGCCATTGACATTTCAGGGAAACACACCCACTTTTGGCACCTATTCTGCTCACAATGGACTCACCAGCATGGGAAAGAATAAAAGGTACCTGAGGGCCTCCATGACATTAAACCCCTTCTCTGATATGGAGCATATCCACAAAAAATGGCTCTTTCAGCCCCATGACAAAAGGGCCCCAGTGGACTCAGCCCAGTTGACACATGAGCATGCTTGCTTCCTGGTCAACAGCCATGCTAGAAGCCCTTCCTTGACCAACACAAAGAGCTACAGGCCATTGGAGCCATTCCAAAGCACAAAGATACTGGGGCTCCATCCTTCAGAGCAACTGGGTCACTTGTCATGCCACTTTGTTCTTTTTGAACCAGTAACATCACTGCCATGAGCCCAGACACAATACGAAACTCAGGTCATCCACGACCATCCTGAAACACCAGTCATGACACCACAGAACCCAGCAAAGAGGCACAACGATTAGATCCACATGACGCCTCTGGCCACAGGATGGCAGAAGAGCACAGCCTTGCTGCTAAGCACCACGCCAGAGAGCTCCTTCTGCCCTTAAAACTGTAGCCACTCATGTGGGCAGTTGACTCCCCTATTTCCACAGGGAGAAAATTTCTTCCCCTTCCCCTATTTCTTCCCCTGCCCCCTAATTTCTGGGAAGAGCACCTAAACTTGGGCAAGGATAGGTGGGCTGGGTATAGAAATGACACTGGGATGTCCTGAGGCACAAATTCACTCCATGCACATGGGAAGAGCATGGCAAGATGGACAGAAAACATCCCCTCTGCTTCATACGACCCTCAGGCCAGGACAAGATACAACGCCAACTGGGGAACCACTCGTGGCTCCAGAGATCTACAGCAAAGGAAACCAATCACGGGAGAGGCCAACTGTTTGATGATCCATGAACCTGTGAACCTGCCACCATAGTCCGTCCCCACACTCACTCCAACTGAACCTGAAGGCAACCCAGAATTCAGGGAACTTGACTGACTTGCCGATCCAGCCACCTGCCCATCCATCCATGGGTTCCACCACTTGAGGTACATTTCACACTCTTCAAGCTTTGCTCTCCCCTGGCAACTGCCCACCTGAGGACAATGTGCAGGTCCCTCCTGTCGACTCAGGACTTTCATCCTTGGAAATGCCGTAATGCATCTGCAAGGCTCACCCTCCCAACACTAGTGCCCACTCACATACCAACCAAAGAAACAATCAGATGAGGGGTCATCAGCTTGGCCCAAATTCTGGACACTCTGCCCAATGATCTCCTCTGACTATCAGAAGAAAACTATGCAGCATCCCATCCCCCAGAAGAATATGACATAGAAACTTGGCCGAAGTCATGACTCCTTTCCTGACCATGAGTAAAAACACTTTCAGGCAAAGGCAGTGTGGCTAACAAACTGAATGGCAGTCCAGATGCTCTCAAAAGGCTTCCACTTCTCTGCTACCAATAGAATCATACATGCCAAGAGACAAAAGCCTTGGCTAGCCTCATGCAACCAGAGATGACTCGTGGTCCCTAGCCATATCCTGAAGTTGGGAGGTGAGGACATCTTCCTCATGGCTCACCTCTGTACCACAAGGCTATCACCCTCAGCTTGCACACTGTGGCTGCTGATGCCCCAGGGAGCAAATACAATGTGACCCTGGCTCTTCAATCCTACTGGAAATCACGTGCTGGACCTCAGTTCCGATGAGGAGACGGTAGGGATGGCTCACTCATTTTGTTCAGATTTCCAAGGAATGCATTTGTAAGAGTCATCATCGATCCAAGCACGTGTGCCCAGGAACTGCATAAGCAGTCGCCACCTCTATCCCAGGAAGGCCAGTGAGTTCAATCAGGTCAGCATTTGGGACTGCACAGATTGCAGCCAGGAGGCAGGAACTGCAGCCAAACCTTGGGCCCTGGGATTTTGCATACCCTAGGGAAACCCCAGAAGGTGAGAGTGCAGATCCCATGCCCAGATCACTGGGGCCAAACCACTAGGTTTCCTCGAATAAGGACCACTTACCTCCATGGGTATTCCATCTGTACGCCCAAGGGCTGCATGCCCAATGGCCCCAGGGGGCTCATGCTCCTTGTCTCACCAGGCTGGGATTCATGGAATATGTGATGGGTTCCCTGCTGACAATGGTCTTCCATCCTGGGCAACTCAATCTGGCTTGAGGTGAGAAAACACATACATGCATGAGGAAGAGCAACAGGTATACAGGGGAAAGGGGCAAGGCCTCCAGTAGAGCTGCCCTCATTCTTGAATCTACTATTCAACTGCTGCACCTCAGCCTGGTGTGTCAGAAGCCAAATATGAATGCATTCACACCTCCAGAGTCAAGGGGCCATCAGGACAAATAGCACCAATCTGCCAACTGCCTGGTCTCAGGCCCTGCAATTCCTCTTCTTTTGCCATTTCCCTTCTTTTGCCATTTCCACTGAAAGCTTAAGGATATCCCCCAAGAACCCTGGAGACACCCTGAGGGGAACAGAGCCCCCTTGGCCTAATAGCCACTGCCCTTCCAGGGAAACATATCCACTCTTGGCACCTATTCTGCTCACAATGGACTTGCCAGCACAGGGAAGGATAAAAGGTACCTGAGGGCTTCCATGATAATAAGCCCCTTTTCTGACAAGTTGCATATCCACCAAAAAAAGGCTCTTTCAGCCCTGCAACAAAGAGGTCCCAATGGACACCTGCACTCAGCCTGGTTGACACATGAAGGTGCAGGATTCCGAGCCAACAGCCATGCTAGAAGAACTTCCTTGAAAAGCACAAAGAGCTACAGGCCATTGCAGACATTCTGAAGGGCAGAGATGCTGGGGCTCCACCCTTTACAGCAACTGGGCCACTTGTATGCTGACTTTCTCTTTGTAAGGCAGCAACATCAATGCCATAAACCTGGACACAACATGAGACTCAGGTTGTCCATGACCATCCAGACACCATCAGCCATGCCATGACAGAATCCAGCAAAGAGGCATGATGAATGAATCCACATCACACCTCTGGCCAGAGGCCAGGAACACAGGAGAGCACAGCCTCCCTGCACCAAATGACAAAATGAGCCCCTGCAGGCCTCCCTGCGGGCCAAATGACAAAATGGGCCCCACAGCAGACAGCCTCTCCTGCCCTTACAAATGCCCACTCATTTGGGCCGCCATCTCCCCTGTTTTCCACAGGATCCTGGTCCCTGATTTCTGGGAAGAGCCCCTAAACTCAGGAAAGGATAGGTGGGCTGGATTTACAAACGACAGTGGGATATCCTAAGGCACAACTTCACGCCAAACACAAGGGGAGAATGAGGTGGGATGGACAGAAATATCCTATCTTCCTCATACTTGATACCCTGGCCAGGACAAGATATGACACCAGACTGGAAACCACTCCCAGCTCCAGAGGTCTGCCTCAAAGGACCTCTCATGGGAGAGGCCAACTCTTGGATGGTCTGTGAACCTATGAACCTGCCACCGTGGTGCTTCCCCACATTCACTCCAACCTTAACTGAAGGTAATACCGACTTCAGGGAACCTAACTGAGTCACTGATCCATTCACTTACCCATCCACCCATGGGTTCCACCACCATTCGAGGTATATTTTACACTCTCCAAGCTTTGCTCTGCCCCAGCATCTCCACCCGCACCCCCTCAGGGCCATGTGCAGATCCTTTTCATCAACACAGGATTTCCATCCTCAGAAATGCTCTAAGGCATCTTCCAGGCTCAGTCTCCCAACACCAGTGCTCATTCAGACAACAACCAAAGAAACGGTCAGAAGAAGGGCCATCTGCTTGGCCCACCTGCTGGATGCTCTGACCATTGATATCCTCTGAATATCAGGAGAATATCTGTGGCATGCCTTCCTGGAGAAAAAAATGACACTGAAGCCAGCTGAGGCCAAGACTGCCGTATGGATCATGAGTGAAAAGTCTTGGCTTTTCTCCAGAGCACCAGGCGACAAGCAGCAGGGGGGTCAGTGAAACTCAACGGCAGGTCAGAGGCTCAGATGCTTCAGATGGCTTCACTTACCTCTGACAACTGCACACACATCATAACAGAGGACAGCATCCCAGGCTAGATTACTGAAGCCAGAGACAAACTGAAGTCCTTTATAAGGGCCACCAAAAGAAAGACGACAGCCAGATGAAGGGGACCCAGGTACTGCATGCATGTGTGTGACCAAGTCTAAGCTGGCCCTAACTGGTAACTAGCCCCAACCCTAGCTTCATGGGAGGCATCGTGCTAGAGCTCAATGTCGATGAGGAGATGGTAGTGAGTTCTCACTCATTTAATTCAGATTTTCCAAGGAATGCATATTAAAGTTGTCATCATTGATCCAAGCATGTGCTGCTTCGCTGCATACCTCAGCAGGGTAGGCAGGGCTGCTCCAAGAAGGAGCCAATGATCTGGGAATCCTCCAGGAGCTGGGAGAATTCAGAGCCCCCAGGCTTCTTGGCAAAAGGAAAAGTCCATTCACACTTACAGGTTCTCAAGCAATCCCAGGAAACCCTAAATCCAAGACACAATTTGGTGCAGGGGAAGGCATACCATCCTTAGTGATCCAAAAAACAGAAACTGCAAGCTGTTCCTGCAACACTTCTCATAGGACTCTCTTGCACCTTCATTCATAGAATCGTAGGCAGGGATTCTTCTAAGTGACAGTCATACCTGGCAACTTCTCCTGACAAGTTAAAGGAAAGCACAAGCATGCTTCAAATGTGTACCCGGGTTCTCAATGAACAATATCGGTGTCCATGGTTCCCTGGGGGAAAGCCTGCATCTGCTTCTGAACTGCCTCGACCCCTCATGTATGACTGATACCTATCTATAGCACAAAGGTAGGAAATTATCTTAAAGTTCCTATCGGTGTCTGTCTGATTGAGTATGTGTGCATGGCAGGGGATTTGATGTGGGTCTGAGTGTGTGTGTTCCAGTGTACCAAGAAGAATGTGCCTCAAGACTCTGGGTGTGCCTCTGAAACTCCTTCTGGTTGTCTCCAGGACTCAGGGTCCCACTGCAAAGGCCTTGGTGTCTTAACACGCATGTCTTCACCACAGAGCCCTGACCTCCTGCTGTCCAACAAAATGGCAGATGACACCTGCCACTGTCCACAAGCCCCATGAAAAATTTCATCCTGAGGAGCTGTTGAAATAGGGCATGGGCTCGTGATCTCTGTGACCCATACCCTATCACCATGAACATGAACCTGACTGCCCAAGGTCACCTTGCAGAGCAACTGTGTGAATGCCATGTACCATGAGACATGTCAGCTAAAACTACAGCTCAAGTGTCCATGGTCACAAGACCCACCTCCTCCTGGATCAAGGAAACTTTCCCCAAGAAGGTCAAAAGTATTGGGAACATGATCCTGGGGCAGATATGGCCCACCATTCCCTAAAAGGCAAAATAATTCAGGGCATGAGCCACTTCCTGCCCAGTGAGTCTAATCACTCTCCAGACTTCGCCAGAAAGTGCAAGATGGGATCTGGTCTTCCTCAGGTACCAGGATTCAGGGGTCACTCCCACAGAAACTGGGCCCCTTTGCCGGCCAGATAATGCTCAGATCCATAGCCTCCAGGGCCCTGGGAACCACCACACCCAGGAAAATCTCCTAAAATAAAGTGATTCCTGCGAATTGAACTCCTCCATCCACCCCCAGTGTGACTCACCCACATCAGAAGCCACCATGTCTTCTGCTCACAAAGGGATATTTAGCACTCAGAAGACCAACAGGAAGAAGGTGGTCTTTGATTACGGTGACACCATGCCATTCTGCCCAGCATCCCTTCTCTGCTACACAAAATAATCAAGTGTTCACAGAACATCAAGGCTTCTTCCAGGAAGACTTGAGAAGAAATTCCAGGGAAAGACCTTTGTTATGTGAAGTTTCCCAGAACAGTGCCAGGGAAGTAAGTCACTTGCTACATCATGGAGGAAGCCTTGGTATGCCAACCAAAGATGAATCTCTAAAAACCACAGGACTCCAAGGTTGAATACTTCTCTGCCACAGTGGTGAACAACTGGGTGCCATCTGGGCAGTCCAGCTGATCCCATCTTTAGGAATTTATACACCTTGCAAATTTCAGGCCAAAAGGAAAACCAGACATGTGCAAAGATCTCATTTCTGCCCACACTAGCTGGCTGTGAGGCCTCAGTAAGTGGAATTCTTTAAGGCACCAAAGATACGCTTTGTGAGTCCTTCTGGAAGCGGGCCACCAAGGCCACAAAGGTCACCTATCACCAAGCCTGCCAGGCACCAAAATGCCCTCTCCTCTGTACCCAGCCAAGGGCAGCTCCAAAAGGACCACAGTATGGCACAATGAAAACACAACAACAGTGCCTGCAGCCTCAGTGGACAGACCATCCCAGGAAATCACACTGCACTTTTCCTCACCTGCACAACCATTCTGCTCTAGGCCTCTGGCCAACCTGAAGGAGGAATGCAGGCTGGGACCACTGCACAGTCCATGGCAGCCTCCAAGACACAAGCACGTGACAGAAGATGCAACACAGGAACTGCCAAGGACAGAAATGAGGTCTACTGCCTTTCAACCCTGCCACCATTTGACTAGGTCCCTGCAAACAATACAGCCCACAGGGCACTCAGAAATCCCACCAACCCAAAGGGCCTCAACAGCTAGGACCTCAGATCTGACCTGAGGCTCCAGTAAGAAACTATAGAATCTTCCTCACTTTGGCTTCCACATCAGCACAGCCCCAACTAGTGCACTTGCAGCAAGAACCGGGACAAAACGCATACTGTCAAGCCAAGGGCTCAATAGGCCTCGGCCAGGATCTACTCTGACTCCTAGCATCACAGGTGAGGCTAGACGTCTCCCGTGAACTTCAGTGGCATTGATCTCAGATCTTGCACTCCAGGAAAACTGCATGAACATCTTACACAGCCCACACTCAGAAGGGAGCCTTGCAAACGGTGATGATCCTGGTGCTCTATGCATATATGTGACACAGTAAAAGCAGCCTTTACTGCTAATGAAAACACACTTAGCCCCAGGAGAGGCAACATGCTGGAACTCACTGTCGGTGGGGAAACAGTATTGAATTCTGACTCATTTTGTTCAGATGTTCCCAAGGAATGCATATGAGAGTGTTGTCATAGATATGAGCACACACTGGCTTGCTGCCCACCTCAGAAGGGCAGGTAGGGCCAGTCTCAGGAGGAGCCAGTGACCTGTGAGTCTTTCCAACAGCCAGGGGAATTCAGAGCCCTAAGGCTTCTCTGCAGAATGGTCCTTCCATACATACAACTATTCAGGCAGTCCCAGGAAACCCTAAATCATGAAACATCTTGTGGTAAGAGAAGGGTGCCATCCTCAGTGATCCAAAAAGCAGTGGCAGGAACCTGGGCCCGTCAGCTTCTTGCCAGACTCCCTTGCACCTCGAGGTCCTGTCTCACATGCATGGCTCCTTGTCTTGGGTGGCAGATAGTCATACCTGAGAACTTCTCCTGACAAGTGGAGAGAAAGCAAAGGAACACTTCAGATGTGTGCCCGAATTCTCACTGAACAATGTTGATGCCCATGGTTCCCTAGGGAAGGCCTTTATCTGCTTAGCCAAATGTATTGATTCCCTACCTAGGACTGGATAAATATGTGAGCGTGAGTGCAGCAAAAGAATTCAAATCATGAGCCTCTTCCTGCCCAATGAGTCCAATCACTCTCCAGGGATCCAATGGTAAGTGAAAGACAAGAGGTGCTCATCCTCAGGTACCAACATCCAGGTGTCACTCCCACAGAAACGGGGCCCCTTGCCCAGCCAGAATAGGTTAAGATCCACAGAGTGCAGGCCACTGGGTACTGACCAGACTCTATGGGAAAAACTCCCATAATGCAGGGTTTGGTCCAAATTGAACATTTCTGCCCCAAATAGCGACTCACCCACATCAGAAGCCTCCAGGGGCTCTGTTCACACAGAGACAACCAGCACCGAACAACAGGAAAAAGTGGGCTTTGACTAGGGTGACATCACACCATTCTGCCTGGCACCTCGTGTCCGCCATGCAAGATCACCAAGTGCTCACAGATTACTAAGGTGGCTTCTTCCAATCAGAAGCCACAGAAGCTTATTGCTTTGGTTTTCATAGCACCACAGCCCCAACTAGTGCACTCACAGCATGAACTGGGAGGAAACACACCTTTCAGAGCGAAGAGCTCAACTGTCCGAGGCCAGAATCTACTGACACCTACCACCACAGGACAAGCCGGATGCCTCTTCTGCTCCTCAGTTCCCTTCACCACGGACCTCACATTTAAGAGGGCCGCTCAAACATCTGTACACGGCCACCCTCAGATGGGAGCCTCGCAAATGATGGTGACCTGGCTCCTCTATGCGTGTGTGATACAGTCGGAGATGCCCTCACTGCTAACCAGCCCCACCCTTAAGCCCGAGGCAGGCAACGTGCTGGACCTCAGTTTCGATGAGGAGACGGTAGTGAGTTCTCACTCATTTTGTTCAGATTTCCAAGGAATGCATGTGAGGGTGTCATCATCGATCCAAGCACATGCTGGCTCGCTGCCCACCTCCACAGGGCAGGCAGCACCACTCCCATGAGGAGCCAGTGACCTGGGCGTCCTCTAGCAGCTGGGAGAACAGTCCCCCCATATGTACAGCCACTGAACCAGTCCCAGGAAAGCCGAAATCCATGACAGGTCTTGGGGCAGGGGAAGGCGTACCGTGCTCGGTGATCCAAAAAGAACTGGCAGCAACCTGGGCCCACCACACTTTTTGCCAGACTCCCTTGCACCTCGAGTCACCACCTCATGGGTGGGGCTTCATCTCCTGAGTGACGGACAGTCACACTTGGGAACTTCACCTGACAAGGAGACAGAAAGCACAGGCAGGCTTCAGATGTGCACCAGGCTCTCACTGAGCAAGATCAATACACATGCTTCATGGGGGGAAGGCCTGTATCTGCAAGCCAACTGTATATCCAGACTACTGGATATATGTCTATCAAAAGAGTGCAGTTATTATGTTCACACGTCTGTGGGTGTCTTTCTGACTGAGGGTGCAATGGTGGCAGGGCATTTGATGTGGTGCTGAGTGCCTGTGTTCTGGCGTACCAATAANCTGCCTCATGGGCGGGGCTTCGTCTCCTGGGTGATGGACAGCCATACCTGGCAACTTCACCTGACAAGGGGACAGAAAGCACAGGAACACTTGAGATGTGCACTTGGTCTCTCACTGAGTAACACCGAGGAAAATATTTCACTGGGGGAAGGCCTGTATCTGGACCCAACTACATCCATCCCTTACAGACAACTGGTTACCTACCTTACAAAAGAGTGCAGCAAATCAGGCTCAAGTGCATGTGGGTGACTTTCTGACTCAGCATGCATGGTGGTAGGCGATTCCATGTGGCGTTGAGTGCCTGTGTTCCGGTGTACCAACAAGAACGCACTCTTGGCAATTTGGGTGTGTGTCTAGAAATACGTCCGGGTATCGAAGTCTCAGAGCCCGCATGGAAACACCCTGCAGTTTGAACACGCATGTCGTCTTCATGGAGCCCTGACCTCCTGTCCTCCCACGAAATGGAGGAGGACACCTGGCATCTTCCTTCAACCCCATGCAAAATTTCACTGAAGAGCTGTTGACAGGCTCTAGGCTCCCAGACTCCATGACCCATGATCTCTGATCAAAGCACAGAGACCTGACCGCCCAAAGTCACCTTGCCGAGCGTCTGTGTGAATGACCCGTACCCTGAGACTGTAGCTACTACTACAGCTCAGGCGCCCTTGTCACAAGTCCACCTCCACCCTAACCAGAAAATGTTCCCAGAGAACTGCACAGTAAGGTGAACTTGGCACTAGGGCAGATACGGCCACCGCACCCTCGAATAGGCAAAGAATTCAAGGCTTCCGTCTCTTCCTGCTAGTCAGTCCAATCATTGGGTGGCCTCTGACAGAACGTGAGGATGGTACCTGGACTTCCTCTGATGCCAGGATACAGGGGTCACTCCTATGGATACGGGACCCCTTTCCTGGCCAGATCATCCTCAGATCCACACCCTGTAGGGACCGGGCTACTGACGACACCCTAGAGAAAGCTCCCATAATACAGGCCGTGGTCCAGATTGAACTCCTCCTGCCGCAAGGGTTACTCACCCAAATCTGAAGCCTCCAAGGCCTCGGCACACACAGGCACAATCAGCAAGCAGGAAGATCCAGAGGATGAACGTGAGAAAACTGACCGAGTGCACACAGATCACTAAGCATGCTTTCATGAAGACGTCAGAAGACCTGCCAGGGGAAGACCTTGGATGCCACAGGTCTCTGCCACAGTGCCATGGGAGCTGCTTGCTCTGATATTGAGGCAGCATGGGTGTGTCAACCAATAACCAATCTCTACCAGAACCACAGACCTTCAAGACTGATGCTTTATTGCCAGGGGGGCGAACACATTAGTGCTATCAGGGCCGGCTGACTGGCCCCAACCTTAGGGAACCTTGGCAATTCCAGGCACAGGGACAAATGGCGGACAAGGGCCATGTGTGCACACCACATAACAACGCACAGGCCTGGTTGCTTGGCCTCTGTTACTGCAAATCTTCAAGGCACCAAAGATACCCTTGGAGAGTCCTTCTACTGGCAGCAGGCCACCAAGGACACAAAGGTCACCTATACCCGAACCTCCCAAGCACCAGCAATGCCCTCTCCTCTGTACCCAGCTGAGGGCAGCTTCCAAAGGACCACAGTATGTATCAGTGAAAAGAGGAAAACTGTGCTTGTAGCCTCAGCAGACATAACATCCCAGGAAATCACACTGCACTTTTCATCACCTGCACAGCCATTCTTCTCTGGGCCTCTGGCCAACCTGCTGGAGAAATGCAGGCCTGTGACCCCAACACAGTCCATGGCGACCTCCAAGACTCAAGCATGGGACAGGAGTTGCAATTCAGGAACTACCAAGGGCCTAAATAAGTCGTGTTAACTTTCACAAGTCTCACTGTTCCCCTAGGTCTCTGCAGCTGCTGCAGTCCACAGGGCACTCAGGAACCTCACCAACGATGCAAACGGCCACAACAGCGAGGGCCTCAGATCTGACCTGTGGCTCCAATCGCAAACCACTGAAGCTTCCTTGTGCCAGAATCAACATCACCAGGGCCCCAAATAGCACATTCACAGCATGAACTGGGAGGAAACACACCATTCTGAGCACAGAGCTCACTGTCCGGGGCCAGGATCTACTGCGACACCTACCATCACCGGACAAGCCGGATGCCTCTTCTGCTCCTCCGTGCCCTTCACCATGGACCTCGCATTCCAAGAGCTGCTCGAACATCTGTACACGGCCAACCCTCAGATGGGAGCCTCACAAATGGTGTTGACCTGGCTCCCCCATGCATGTGTCTGACAGAGTCGGAGATGCCCTCACTGCTAACCAGCCCCAGCCTTAAGCCCAAGGCAGGCAACGTGCTGGACCTCAGTTTCGATGAGGAGACGGTAGTGAGTTCTCACTCATTTTGTTCAGATTTTCCAAGGAATGCATGTGAGGGTGTCATCATTGATCCAAACATGTGCTGGCTCGCTGCCCACCTCCACAGGGCAGGCCGCGCCGCTCCCAGGAGGAGCCAGTGACCTGGGCGCCCTCCAGCAGCTGGGGGAACTCACAGCCCTCAGGCTTCTCAGCAAGAGGAATGGTCCCTCCAAACGTACAGCCATTCAGGCAGTCCCAGGAAAGCTGAAATCCATGACATGTCTTGGGGCAGGGAACGGCGTACCGTGCTCAGTGATTGCAAAAGCAGTGTCAGGAATGTGGGCCCACCACACTTCTCACCAGACTCCCTTGCACCTCGAGTCACTGTCTCACGGGCGGGGCTTCATTTCCTGGGTGACAGACAGTCATATCTGGCAACTTCACCTGACAAGGGGACAGAAAGCACAGGCAGGCTTCAGATGTTACCCAGCTTCTCGCTAAGCAATATCGATGCCCATGGTTCCCTAAGGGAAGGCTTCTTCTGCTTCCCAACTGTAGTATCCCTTATGCACGACTGGATACCTATGTGTTGGCATGAGTGCAGAAAGTTAGGTTCATGTGACTGCGGATGTCTGTCTGACTGTGTGTGCAAGCATGTCGGGGGACTTGATGTGGGTCTGAGTACTTGTGTTCTAGTGTACCAACAAGGATGTGCTCTCACGATTCTGGGTGTGCCTCTGGAACTCTTTGTGTACTTCCGTGTCTCAGAGCCCCTATGCAAAGGCCTTAGTGTCTGAACATGCAGGTCTGCTCCAGGGAGCCCTGACCTCCCACCCTCCCACAAAATGAGGGGTGACGCCTGGCACCTTCCTCCAACCCCAAATAAAATTTCACTGAGGGGCTGTGGACATAGGCTCTGGGCTATCTACATGACCGAACTACATGACCCATGCTGTCTGACAAAAGCACAGGAACCTGACCACCCAAGGTCACCTTGCGGAGGATCTGTGTGAATGTCCCTTACCCTGAGACTATCCCAGCCACTATTACAGCTCAGGTGTCCTTACCACAAGTCCCACCTACTTCCCGAAAAAAGGAACTTTCCAGAGAAGGCCTACAGTGTGGTTAACTTGGCCTTGGGCCAGATACAGTCCACCATACCCTCGCAGGGCAAAAGAATACACGGCATGTGCCTCTTCCTGTCCAATTAACCAGTCACTCTGGGGCTGTGCTGAAATTGCAAGACAAGAGGTGGTCATCCTCAGGTACCAGGATCCAGGGGTCACTCCCACAGAAATGGGGCCCCTTTTCTGGCCAGATTATCCTCAGATCCACAGCCTGCAGGGCCCTGGGTGCCAACCACAGCCTACAGAAAGCCCCCATAAAGCAAGTCAGTTCAGTTCAGTTCAGTCGCTCAGTCATGTCCAACTCTTTGTGTCCCCATGAACCGCAGCACACCAGGCCTCCCTGGCCATTGCCAACTCCCGGAGTCCACCCAAACCCATGTCCATTGAGTCGGTGATGCCATCCAACCATCTCATCCTCTGTCATCCCCTTCTCGTGCCTTCAATCTTTCCCAGCATTGGGGTTTTTTTCCAACGAGTCAGCTCTTCGCATCAGGTGGCCAAAGTATTGGAGTTTCAACTTCAGCATCTGTCCTGCCAATGAACACCCAGGACTGATCTCCTTTAGGATGGACAGGTTGGATCTCCTTGCAGTCCAAGGGACTCTCAAGAGTCTTCTCCAACACCACAGTTCAAAAGCATCAATTTTTCAGCGCTCAGCTTTCTTTATAGTCCAGCTCTCACATCCATATGTGACCACTGGAAAAACCATAGCCTTGACTAGACGGACATTTGTTGGCAAAATAATGTCTCTGCTCTTTGATATGTTGCCTAGGTTGGCCATAACTTTCCTTCCAAGCAGAAAGCATCTTTTAATTTCATGCAATCACCATTTGCAGTGACTTTGGATCTCAGAAAAATAAAGTCGGCCACTGTTTCCCCATCTATTGGCCGTGAAGTGATGGGACCGGATGCCATGATCTTAGCTTTCTGAATGTTGAGCTTTAAGCCAACATTTTCACTCTCCTCTTTCCCTTTCAGGGGCTCTTTAGTTCTTCTTCACTTTCTGCCATAAGGGTGGTGTCACCTGAATAGCTGAGGNTGCAAATTGAACTCCTCCTGCTCCGAAGGGTGACTCCACATCTGAAGCCCCCAGGGGCTCTGCTCACACAGGGAAAATCAGCACCCAGCAAGACCCATAGGATGAAGGTGAGCTTTGACTAGGTGACAACGTGCCATTCTGCCGTGTCTCTGCCAGGCAAGACCTCGATTACTCACAGATCACCAAGGATGTATCCAGGAAGACTTCAGAAGACTCACCAGGGGAAGACCTTGGATGTGCCAGGTCTCTGCCATAGTGCCATGGGAGCCGCTGGCTCCTACATTGAGGCAGCATTGGTATGCCAATCAATGACCAATCTCTACCACAACCATGGCCCTCCAAGTTTGATGTGTCATTGCCAGGGTGGTGAACATCTGGGAGCCATCTGGGCCATCTGCCTGGCCCCAACTTTTAGGAATTCACAATACTTGCTAATTCCAGGCTCAGGGGCCAAATGGGTCCAAGGGGCATGTGCGCAGACCACATAACAACCCACAGAGCTGGTTGCTTGGCCTCTGTTACTGCAATTCTTCAAGGCATGAAAGATAAACTTGGAGAGTCCTTCTACTGGCATTGGGCCAACAAGGCCACAAAGGTCACCTATCACTGAGCCTCTCAAGCACCAGCAATGCTCTCTCCTCTGTACCCAGCTGAGAGCAGCTTCAAAAGGACCACAGTATGTATCACTGAAGAAACGACAGTGCCTGCAGCCTCAGCGGACCTAACATCCCAGGAAATCACACTGCGCTTTTCCTCACCTGCACAACCATTCTTCTCTGGGTCTCTGGCCAACCTGCAGGAGAAATGCAGGCCTGTGACCACCTCACAGTCCATGGTGACCTCCAAGACTCAAGCATGGGACAGGAGTTGCAATCAGGAACTGCCAAGGGCAGAAAGGAGGCCTATTGCCTTTCGCCCCTGCCACCATTCCCCTAGGTCCCTGCAGCCGCTGCAGCCCAGACGACACTCAGGAATCTCACCAACCCAAAGGGCTGCAATGGCGAGGGCCTCACATCTCTCCTGGGGCTCCAATCAGAAGCCACAGAAGCTTATTGCTTTGGTTTTCATAGCACCACAGCCCCAACTAGTGCACTCACAGCATGAACTGGGAGGAAACACACCGTTCTGACTAAAGAGCTCACTGTCTGAGGCCAGGATCTACTGCGACACCCACCACCACAGGACAAGCCGGATGCCTCTTCTGCTCCTCAGTGCCCTTCACCATGGACCTCGTGATCCAAGAGCCGCTCGAACACCTGCACACGGCCCACCCTCAGATGGGAGCCTCCCAAATGGTGGTGACCTGGCTCCCCCATGCATGTGTCTGACAGAGTCGGAGATGCCCTCACTGCTAACCAGCCCCACCCTTAAGCCCAAGGCAGGCAACATGCTGGACCTCAGTTTCGATGAGGAGACGGTAGTGAGTTCTTACTCATTTTGTTCAGATTTTCCAAGGAATGCATGTGAGGGTGTCATCATCGATCCAAGCATGTGCTGGCTTGCTGCCCACCTCCACAGGGCAGGCCGCGCCGCTCCCAGGAGGAGCCAGTGACCTGGGCGTCCTCCAGCAGCTGGGGGAACTCAGAGCCCCCAGGCTTCTCAGCAAGAGGAATGGTCCCTCCATATGTACAGCCACTCAGGCAGTCCCAGGAAAGCTGAAATCCAAGACATATCTTGGGGCAGGGAATGGCGTACCGTGTTCGGTGATCACAAAAGCAGTGGCAGGAACATGGGCCCACCACACTTCTCACCAGACTCCCTTGCACCTCGAGTCACTTTCTCACGGGCGGGGCTTCATCTCCTGGTTGACGGACAGTCATATTGGGCAACTTCACCTGACAAGGGGACAGAAAGCACAGGCAGGCTTCAGATGTGTACCCGCTTTCTCATTGAGTGAGATCAATGTGCATGCTTCATGGGGGGAAGGCCTGTATCTGCAAGCCGACTGTATTGATCCCGTATGGATGATTGTATATATGTCTATCAAATGAGTGTAGTTATTAGGTTCAAGTGCCTGTGGGTGCCTGTCTGACTGAGCGCGCAAGGGTGCAGGGCATTTGATATGGTACTGAGTGCCTTGTTCCGGCGTACCAACAAGGATGCACTCTCAGCATTATGGGTGTGCCAGGGGAACTCATTCTGGATATCTCCATGTCTCAGAGTCTGCATGCAAAGACCTTGGTATCTGAACACACCTGCCATCTCCACGGAGCCCTGACCTCCCACCCTCCCACAAAATGGGGGATGACACCTGGCACCTTCCCCAAACCCTATGAAAAATTTCACCAAGGGGCTATTGACAGAAGTTCTGGGCTCCCAATCTCCATCCCCATGCCCTCTGACCAAAGCACATGGACCTGACCATCCATGGTCCCCTCACGGATCATCTGTGTAAATGCCACGTACCCTGAGACTATGCCAGCTGCTACTACTGCTCAGGTGTCCTTGCCACAAGTCTCACCTCTTTCCTGAACAAGGAAAGTTTCCCAGATAACCGCACAGTATGGTGAAGTTGGCCCTGGGGCAGATACGGCCCATCGCACTGTCAAAGAGCAGAATAATTCAGGGCATGCATCTCTCCATGCACAGTCAGTACAACCATTGTCTGGGCCTCCACCGAAAAGTGCAAGATGAGAGCTGGTGGTCCTTTGGTACCAGGATCCAGTTCCTGGCCAGATTATCCTCAGATCACCGCCTACAGAGCTCTGGGTGCCGACCACACCCTATGGGAAAAGCTCCCATCATGAAGGACTTGGTCCAAACTGAACTCCTCCTGCCCTAAAGGGCAACTTGCCCCTATCTGAAGCCTCTGCAGCTCTGCTCACATGGAAAATCAGCACCCAGGAAGACCCACAGGAAGAAGGTGGGCTTTATTTATGGCAACACCACTCTATTCAGCTGTACACATCTTTTCCATTATGGTAAAACCACTGAGTGCTCACAGATCACCAAGGCAGCTTCCAGAAAGAATTTATAAAAGCAAGGGGATGACTTTGAATGTTCCAGTTCCTCTGCCCTAGTGTGATGGGAGCCACTGTCTACTACATTGTTATGTTATGTTATGTTATGTTATGTTATGTTATGCACAAGCCTTGTTATGCCAACCGATTCCAAATCTCTACACAGCCACGGGCCTCCAAGGTCGATACTTCATTGTGAGTGTGGCGAACACCTGGGTGCCATGTGGGCTGTCTGGCTGACCCCATCATTTAGAACTCATACATCTTGCAAATTCCAGCTCTAGTGGCCAAATGGGGGTCAAGTGGCATGTGCACACACTGCATTACCACCCACAGGGCTGGCTCCTTGGCCTCAGTTGGTATAACTCTTCAAGGTACCAAAGATATGCTTAAAGAGTCCTTCTTCTTGCATCGTGCCACCAAGGCCTCAAGTGTTACCTATGACTGAGGCCCCCAAACAGCAGTAATGCCCTCTCCTCTGTACCCAGCCAAGGGCAGCTCCAAAAGGACCACAATACATATCGTTACAACCACAATGACAGTGCCTGCAGCCTCAGGGGACAGATCGTCCCAGGCAATCACACTGCACGTTTCCTCACCTGCACAACCATTCTGCTCTAGGCCTCTGGCCATCCTGAAGGAGGAATACATGGCTAGGGCCACTGCACAGTCCACGGTGGCCTTCAGGACTCATGCACTGTGACAGGAGTTGCAATACAACAACTGCAAAGGACAGAAGGCATATTACTTTTTGCCCCTACCACTGTTCCACCAGGTCCCACTACTGCTGCAGCCTACAGGCACTCAGGAATCTTACTAAACCAAAGGACCTCAACAGTGAGGCCTCGTATCTGACCTGGGTCTCCAATCAGAAACCACAGAATCTTCCACGCTTCAGCTTCCACATCAGCAAAGCCCCAGCTAGTCCACTAGCAGCTACAACTGGGATGAAATACACCTTTCAAGCCAAGAGCTCACTGGGCTGAATGGGCCTAGGCCTGGTCTACTGAACAGGATCTAGTGCATGATCTCCTGTGAGGGTAATCAGCTGGCTGACTGTCAAGTCATAAAGGTGGCACTTCATGAAACCCCTGCAGATGCCTTTGATCCGGATATGTCCTATTGAATAGGCAAAATCACAATATTCTGAGAAAGGATTAAAAAGATACAAAAAAAGAGAAGTAAAGATTACTGATAAAGGATGGTTACAGTCCAAGGATGGTCGATTAATAATTTCTAAAAATGATAAATGGAAAATTCTTAAGGGTTTACACTAGAGCTTTCCTAAAGCCTTGGAATTTACCAACTATGTAACTCAGCTCTCAGGTTTTCAACAGACATTTAAAAAATACTGGGAGGTGACTCCTGACCCAGTCTCTGAGTCAAGCACACCATTGTTTGAGCCAGGAACCAAGGTCCTGATAAAGACTTTGGGGTCTGGGGTGGGGGGATCCCTCAAGCCCCTTTGGGAAGGCCTTTACCAGGTTATTCTTTCTTTTCTCACAGCTGTCAAAGTGCCAAGAATTGATTCGTGGATGCACCACACTAGAGTTAAGAGGTGGCACCTTGACCAGAACTAATTGATGTCATTTTATGCCTGTATTTTCTATGCTCTTTCTTAGTACTCTTCAGATGAGTTTGATAATCTATGTGTGTCTGCTTATGCTGACTCCAAAAGTCCTGAGTCTGCCATTTGATCCTCAAGATAATGCCTTCCTTTCCGGGGCTCACTCCTACACTGCATTTCACAATAGGTCTAGCTGCTGGGTCTATAGAGTGCTACCATCTTCATCAGTGGAAGGCTTCCCATAGTAGGCATCTCCACTTCAAGCAAAGGGCTTTCTCCAAGTTTGTGAATATCTTCGACAACAACAATCATATGTGATGCCTCTTCTTAATCTGATGACATCTAACAATCACAAGATGGACTGGTGCAACACTTTGTACCTTATCCATGGACATAATTTGACTTTTAACTTTGCTGATTGTTCTGTTTTTACTGTTTTCTCCCTCCTGTGTAATGGGATTTGTTTCTAGCTGCATGAAGGCTTTTAAGTTACAAATGGTTGCTCAAACTCCTGCAACTTCAGCAGCTTCCTCCAACTACTACTTGGGGCCTCTGGATCATACCCTCAATAGGAGGGTTAGCAGAATATGATGCCTCTCCAATTTAGTGATGATGCCCCTTATCAGCTTAGAAGCAGTTATGTAATGAGAATGATGCCCCTTTCCCTAAGCAACATAATTCTCCTAAAAGAAAAGAAAAGACAGGAAGGCTAGGGTCCCCAAATGGAGGAAATAGGCTGCAAGGGCCAGACATTTTTTCTCTCTCTATTAAGTACCAGGAGGAAACAAACTACAGGTGTCACATTACTTCCCTTCTCTATACAAAATTAAAAGGTTTCTTTTAAAATTCAGTGTTGCCATGACAATAACTGGTTCCACCTGAATTTAACTTTCCTCAAACTTTCAGCTAACTAAAGGGTATTACTTATGGAAATATTTTTCTTAAGCTATGCTAAAGAACTATGTATTTATTCTTAACTCTGTATTTCTTCACATGGACATCATCAGATGATCAATACTGAAAAGAGATTGATTATATTTATTGCAGCCAAAATGGAGAATCTCTATACAGTCAGCAAAATCAAGAGTGGCAGCTGATTGTGGCTCAGATCATGAACTCCTTATTGCCAAATTCAGACTTAAACTGAATAAAGTAGGGAAAACCACTAGATCATTAAGGTAAGACCTAAATCAAATCCATTACAACTATACAATGAAAGTAACAAACAGATTCAAGGGATTAAATCTGATAGACAGAGTGCCTGAAGAACTATGGACAGAGGTTCAGTTCATCGTACAGGAGGCAGTGATCAAGGCCATCCCCAAGAAAAAGAAATGCAAAAAGGCAAAATGGTTGTCTGAGGAGGCCTTAAAAAGAGCTGTGAAAAGAACAGAAGTGAAAGGCAAAGGAGAAAAGGAAAGATATACTCATTTGAATGCAGAGTTCCAAAGAATAGCAAGGAGAGATAAGAAAGCCTTCCTCAGTGATCAGTGCAAAGAAATAGAGGAAAACAATAGAATGGGAAAGACTAGAGATCTCTTCAAGAAAATTAGAGATACCAAGGGAAAATTTCATGCAAACATTGGCACAATAAAGGACAGAAATGATATGGACCTAACAGAAGCAGAAGATATTAAGAAGAGGTGGCAAGAATACACAGAAGAACTGTACAAAAAAGATCTTCATGACCCAGATAATCACGATGGTGTGATCACTCACCTAGAGCCAGACATCCTGGAATGTGAAGTCAAGTGGGCCTTAGAAAGCATCACTACGAACAAAGCTAGTGGAGGTGATGGAATTCCAGTTGAGCTATTTCAAATCCTGAAAGATGATGCTGTGAAAGTGCTGCACTCAATATGCCAGCAAATTTGGAAAACTCAGCAGTGGCCACAGGACTGGAAAAGGTCAGTTTTCATTCCAATCCCAAAGAAAGGCAATGCCAAAGAATGCTCAAACTACCGCACAATTGCACTCATCTCACACGCTAGTAAAGTAATGCTCAAAATTCTCCAAGCCAGGCTTCAGCAATACGTGAACCGTGAACTTCCAGATGTTCAAGCTGGTTTTAGAAAAGGCAGAGGAACCAGAGATCAAATTGCCAACATCCGCTGGATCATCGAAAAAGCAAGAGAGTTCCAGAAAAACATCTATTTCTGCTTTATTGACTATGCCAAAGCCTTTGACTGTGTGGATCACAATAAACTGTGGAAAATTCTGAAAGAGATGGGAATACCAGACCACCTGACCTGCCTCTTGAGAAACCTGTATGCAGGTCAGGAAGCAACAGTTAGAACTGGACATGGAACAACAGACTGGTTCCAAATAGGAAAAGGAGTACGTCAAGGCTGTATATTGTCACCCTGCTTATTTAACTTATATGCAGAGTACATCATGAGAAATGCTGGGCTGGAAGAAGCACAAGCTGGAATCAAGATTGCCGGGAGAAATATCAATAACCTCAGATATGCAGATGACACCACCCTCATGGCAGAAAGTGAAGAAGACCTAAAGAGCCTCTTGATGAAAGTGAAAGAAGAGTGAAAAAGTTGGCTTCAAACTCAAAATTCAGAAAACTAACATCATGGCATCTGGTCCCATCACTTCATGGCAAATAGATGGGGAAACAGTGATGGACTTTTTTTTTTTGGGGGGGGCGCCTAAAATCACTGCAGATGGTGACTGAAACCATGAAATTAAAAGACACTAGTTCCTTGGAAGAAAAGTTATGACCAACCTAGACAGCTTATAAAAAACCAGAGACATTACTTTGCCAACAAAGGTTCATCTAGTCAAAGCTATGTTTTCTCCAACAGTCATGTATGGATGTGAGAGCTGGACTATAAAGAAAGCTGAGCACCAAAGATTTGATGCTTTTGAACTGTGTTGTTGGAGAAGACTCTTGAGAGTCCCTTGGACAGTAAGAAGATCAAACCAGTCCATCCTAAAGGAAATCAGTCCTGAATATTCATTGGAAGGACTGATGCTAAAGCTGAAACTCCAATAGTCTAGCCACCTGAAGCGAAGAACTGACTCATTTGAAAAGACCCTGAAGCTGGGAAAGATTCAAGGTAGGAGAAGAAGGGGACGACAGAGGATGAAATGGTTGGATGGCATCACTGACTTGATGGACATGAGTTTGAGTAAACTCCAGGAGTTGGTCATCGACAGGGACACCTGGCATGCAGTCCATGGGGTCGCAAAGAGTTGAACGCACCTGAGTGACTGAACTGAAGTGAACTGAACTATCTTTCTTCAAGTCAGTTCCTCCTAAGATTCAGAACCTCTAATGGCTCAACAAAAGAGTATGTTTTACTCACACAATTGCTCTCCTAATCTACATTAGGAAAAGGAAATGGCAATCTACTCCAGTATTCTTGCCTAGAGAATCTTGTGGACAGAGGAGCCTGGTGGGCTGCTGTCCATAGGGTCGCACAGAGTCAAGACACTTTTGAAGTGACTTAGCATGCATACATGCATGCAATCTACATTAATAAGACTATGTATTTCCTTGGAAACCTGCCTTTCTTCAAAATTCATGTCAATCCTTTTATGGCCCAGGTTGACTCACATTGTGCCAAATTCCTTCAAAGTGCATGTTGTGGGTGAGGGGCTGGTGGTGCTGAGTTTTGAGATATTTCCTTTCTGTAATTAGCAGCCTGCTATTAGATATATAATGTCCTGCTAAAGACTAGAAGTGGGGCACATTTTCTACTTGATTTTGATGTCTATGTCAGAAGCTTTGTCTATCTCTTTTATACTTCAATAAAACTTTATCACAGAAAAACTCTGAGTGATTAAGCTTCGTCACCTGGCCTGGAATGGATTCCTCTCCTCTGGAAGGCCAAGAATCCTTGTGTCTCTCACAACTCAGCAACAGCATTTCACCACCACAGTGCCAGCGGAGCCACTGGCTACTAGACTGAGGCAGCCTTGCTATGTCAACCGATGCCAGTACCTACCACAACCACAGGGCTCAAAGGCTGCTACTTCACTGCCAGGGTGGTGAACACCTGAGTGCCATCTGGAATGTCTGGCTGGCTCCATCCTAGGAACTCATACACTTGGCAAATTACAGACCCAAGGGCCACAGTAAGGCCAAGGGGCAGGTGCACATAACGCATTACCGCCGACAGGGCTGGTTCCTTGGTCTCTGTTACTGCAATTCTTCAAGGCACCAAAGATACGCTTGGAGAGTCCTTCTGGCAGCAGGCCACCAAGGCCACAAAGGTCACCTATCACCGAGCCTCCTAGGCACCAGCAATGCCCTCTCCTCTGTACCCAGCTGAGGGCAGCTCCAAAAGGATCCTGTGATGTACCACTGAATAAACAACAGTGCCTGCAGCCTCAAGGGAGAAAACGTCCCAGGAAATCACACTGCATCTTTCCTCACCTGCACAACACAGAGGCCTCTAGGCCTCTGGCCAATCACAGGAGGAATGCAGGCCTAGCACCACAGCACAGTCCACGGCGGCCTCCAAGACTCAAGCACTGTGGCAGCAGTTGCAATACACAAAATGCCAAAGGCAGAAAGAAGGCCTATTGCCTTTCACTCCTGCCACCATTCCCCTAGGTCCGTGTAACCACCACAGCCCACAGGGCACTCAGGAACCTCACCAATGATGCAAATGGCTGCAACAGCAAGGGCCTCAGATCTGACCTGGGGCTCCAATCGCAAACCACAGGAGCTTCCTTGTGCCAGAATCGACATCACCAGGGCCCCAAATAGCACATTCACAGCATGAACTGGGAGGAAACACACCATTCTGAGTGAAGAGCTCACTGTCCGATGCCAGGATCTACTGGGACACCCACCACCACTGGACAAGCTGGATGCCTCTTCTGCTCCTCCGTGCCCTTCACCATGGACCTCGCGATCCAAGAGCTGCTCGAACACCTGCACACGGCCCACCCTCAGATGGGAGCCTCCGAAATGGTGGTGACCTGGCTCCCCCATGCATGTGTCTGACAGAGTCGGAGATGCCCTCACTGCTAACCAGCCCCACCCTTGAGCCCAAGGCAGGCAACGTGCTGGACCTCAGTTTCGATGAGGAGACGGTAGTGAGTTCTCACTCATTTTGTTCAGATTTTCCAAGGAATGCATGTGAGGGTGTCATCATCGATCCAAGCACGTGCTGGCTCGCTGCCCACCTCCACAGGGCAGGCAGCGCCACTCCCAGGAGGAGCCAGTGACCTGGGCGTCCTCCAGCAGCCGGGGGAACTCACAGCCCCCAGGCGTCTCAGCAAGAGGAACGGTCCCTCCATATGTACAGCCACTCAGGCAGTCCCAGAAAACCTGAAATCCAAGACATGTCTTGGGGCAGGGAACGGCGTACCGTGCTCGGTGATCACAAAAGCAGTGGCAGGAACATGGGCCCACCACACTTCTCACCAGACTCCCTTGCACCTTGAGTCACTTTCTCACGGGCGGGGCTTCGTCTCCTGGGTGACAGACAGTCATATCTGGCAACTTCACCTGACAAGGGGACAGAAAGCACAGGCAGGTTTCAGATGTTACCCAGCTTCTTGCTAAGCAATATCGATGCCCATGGTTCCCTGAGGGAAGGCTTCTTCTGCTTCCCAACTGTAGTATCCCTTATGTACGACTGGATACCTATGTGTTGGCATGAGTGCAGAAAGTTAGGTTCATGTGACTGCGGATGTCTGTCTGACTGAGTGTGCAAGCATGTCGGGCGACTTGATGTGGGTCTGAGTACTTGTGTTCTAGTGTACCAACAAGGATGTGCTCTCATGATTCTGGGTGTGCCTCTGGAACTCTTTGTGTATTTCCGTGTCTCAGAGCCCCTATGCAAAGCCCTTGGTGTCTGAACACGCACATCAGCTCCATGGAGCTCTGACCTCCCACAAAATGGGGGATGACGCCTGGCACCTTCCTCCAACCCCATGCAAAATTTCACTGAGTGGTTGTTGACACAGGCTCTGGGCTCCCGAACTACATGACCCATGCTGTCTGACCAGAGCACAGGAACCTGACCGCCCAAGATCACCTTGCAGAGCATCTGTGTGAATATCCCTTACCCTGAGACTATCCCAGCCACTATTACAGCTCTGGTGTCCTTGCCACAAGTCCCATCTCCTCCCCGAACAAGGAAACTTTCCAGAGAAGGCCTATAGTGTGGTTAAGTTGACCTTGGGCCAGATAACAACCCACCATATGCTCACATAGTAAAAGAATAAAGGGCATGCACCTCTTCCTTTCCAATTAGTCTAGTCACTCTCTGGGGCTGTGCTAGAAACAAGAGGTGGTCATCCTCAGGTACCAGGATCCAAGGGTCACTCCCACAGAAATGGGGCCCCTTTCCTGGCCAGATTATCCTCAGATCCACAGCCTGCAGGGTGCCAACCACACCCTAGAGAAAGCTCCCATAATGCAGGGTTTGGTCCAAATTGAACTCCTCCTGCCCACCAGGGTGAGTCACCCACATCAGAAGCCTCCAGGGGCTCTGCTCACACCGGGACAATCAGCACTCAGCAAGACCCACAGAAAGAAGGTGGCTTTGTTTACAGCAACACCATGCCATTCTGCCTGGCACCTTGTCTCCACCACGCCAGACCACCAAGTGCTTACAGATCACCAGGAAGACTCCAGAAAAACAGGCAGGGGAAGATCTTGGATTTGCCAGGTTTCCCACCATCATGTCAGGGGAGCCAATGGCTACTACATCAAAGCAGCCTTGGTAAGCCAACCGATGCTGGATCTATACCACAACCATGGTCTTCCAAGGTTGATATATCACTGCCAGGGTGGTGAACACCTGGGTGGGGTCTGGGCAGTCTGGCTGGCCCCATTCTTCAGGAACTCATGCACCTTGCAAATTACAGTCCCAAGGGCTAAAGGGTAGAGCCAAGGGGCATGTGAACTTACCTTAATACTACCCACAGGGCTGGCTCCTAGGCCTCGTTATTGCAACTCTTCAGTTGCAAAGATACAGTTTGTAAGTCCTTTTTTCTGACATCAGGCCACCAAAGCCACAAAGGTCACCTATCACTGAGCCTCCCAATCACCAGCAATGCCCTGTCCTCTGCACCCAGCCGAGAGCAGCTCCAAAAGGACCACAGTACATATTATTGCAAAAACAAAAACAGTGCCTGAATCCTCAGGGGATAAATTGTCCCAGGAAATCACACTGCACCTTTCCTCACCTGCACAACTATTCTGCTCTAGGCCTCTGGAAAACCCACCTGATGAATGTATGGTTAGAACCACCTCACAGTCCATAGTGTCCTGCAAGGCTCAACACTGTGACAGGAGTCGCAATACAGGAACTGCGAAGAACAGAAACTAAGCCTATTTCCTTTCACCCCTGCCAATGTTCCACTAGATCCTTGCAACCACTACAGTACACAGGGCACTCAGGAATCTCACCAATCCAAAGGGCTGCAATGGTGAGGGCCTCATATCTGACCTGGGGCTCCAATCAGAAACCACAGAAGCTTCCTCACTTCAGCTTCCACATCACCACAACCCCAACTAGCGCACTCATAGCAGGAACCAGGACGAAATTTGCCTTTCAAGTCAAGAGCTCAATGGGCCTAGGCCAGGATCTACTGTGACTCCTATCACTATTGGACAAGCCTCTTCTGCTCCTCAGTGGCAATCACCACACAGATTGCATTCCAAGAAGACTGCTCAAACATCGGTACATGCCCACCCTCAGACAGGAGCCTCACAAGTGGTGGTGACCACAGTGCTCCATGCATGTGTGTTACATAGTTGAAGCTGCCCGCACTCCTAACTAGTCCTGCCCTTAGCCCCAAAGGAGACAATGTGCTAGACCTCGTTTCAATGAGGAAATGGTATCAATTTCTCACTCATTTTGTTCAGATTGTCCAGGGAACACATGTGAGTGTGCCATCATCAATCTGAGCACCTGCTGGTTCGCTGTACACTTTAGTCAGGAAGGGAGGGCAGCTCCCAGGAGGAGCCAGTTCCCTGGGAGTTCTCCAACAGCTGGGGGAACTCAGAGCTCCTAGGCTTCTCGGCAAGAGGAACAGTCCATCTAAACTTACAGCTACTCAGGCAGTTCCAGGAAACTGTAAATCCATGACACATCTTGGGGCAGCTGAAGGCATTCCATGCTCAGTGATCCAAAAAGTAGTGGTAGCAACCTGGGCCCACCACACTTCTTGTTGGACGCCCTTGCACCTTGAATCACGACCGCACAGGCAGGTCTTTTTATTCTGGGTGACAGGCAGTCATACCTGGCAATGTCACCCCACAAGTAGACAGAAAGCATAGGTAGGCTTCAGATGTGTTCCCTTGTTCTTGCTGAACAATACTGATGCCCATGGTTCTCTGGGGGAAGTTCTGGATCTCAGCTGCAACTGCCTCAATCCCTTACATACGACTGGATACCTATCTGTCACCAGGAGTGTGACAGATAATGAGTTTCAAGTGCCTGTGGGTGTCTGTCTCTCTGAAAGCCGTGTGTGGCCAGGGGATTCAATGTGGGGCTGCGGGCGTGTGTTCTGGTTTACCAATGAAGATATACTCTCAGGATTCTGGGTGTGCCTCTGGAACTCCTGTATGTCAGAGCCCCTTTGCAAAGGCCTCAGTGCCTGAATAGGCATGACTTCTCCACAGAGCCCTGACCTCCTGCCATCACACAAAATGGCAGATGAGGCATGCCACCTTCCACAAGCCCCATGCAATATTCATCCAAAGGGCCTGCTGAAATAGGCTCTGGGCTCCTGATCCCCATGACACCCACCCTCCAATCAAAGCACATGGACCTGACCACCCAAGGTCGCCCTGCAGAGTATCTGTGTGACTGCCACTTACCCTGAGACCATGCCAGCTTCTACTACAGCTCAGGCGTCCTTGCCCACAAGCCCCCCTTCCTTCAGGAACAGGGGTACTTTCCCCGAGAAGCTCCAGATGGCTCGCAGTATGCCTCAGCAGGGCAGGCAGCACTGCTCCCAGGAGCCAGTGAGCATGGGAGTCCTCTAGCAGCTAGGCAATTCAGAGCCTTCAGGCTTCTCGGTAAGAGGATCAGTCCATCCACACTTACAGCTATTCAGGCAATCCCATGGAACCCACGGAACCCTTAATCCAAAAGGGGGAAGATGTACGCTCCAGTGATTGAAAAAGCTGTGGCAGCAACTTGGGCCTGCCACACGTCTGACAAGACTCCCCTGCACCTCGAGTCCACGCATAACACACATGGCCTCTTTTCTTGGGTGACGGAAAGTCACACCCAACAACTGTTCTTAAAAACTGAAAAGCACAGGCACACTTCAGATGTGCATCCCATTCTCTCTGAATAACATCCATGCTGATACTTCCTGGTTGAAGGCCTTCATCTGCTTTCTAACTGCCTCAATCCCTTATATACCAGAGGATATATATGCGTGAGCAGACTGTAGGAAGTTAGGATATATTATCTGTGTGTGTCAGTTTGGCTGTTTGTTGTGAGGGGCTTGATGTTGGGCTAAGTGTGTGTGTTTCAGTGTCCAAACAAAGATGAGCTTTCAGGATTCTGGGTGTGCATCTCTGGAACTCCTGGTTGTCTCCTTGTAAAGGCTGAGCCCCTTTGTAAAGGCCTCATTGGCTGAAAAGGTATGCCTTCTTCACAGAGCCCTGACGTCTAGCTTTCCCACAATATGGCAGATCACGCCTGACACCTTCCACAAGCTCCATGCAAACTTTCACCCTTAGGGGCTGTTCACATAAGGTATGGGCTCCTGATTTCCAAAACCCATGCCCTCTGACCAAAGCACAGGAACCTGACTGTTCAAAGTTGGCAAGCGGAGCTTCTGTGGAACTGCCACGTATCCTGAGGCCATGCCAGTACTACTACAATTAGTTGTCATTTCTCACAAGTCCCAGCTCCTCAAGGTACAAGTGAAGTTTCCTGAGAAGACACACAATTCCATGAACTTGGCCTTGGAGCAGAAAAGGCCCACCACACCCTCAAAAGGCTAAAATAACTCAGGGCATGCAACTCCTCCGGCTGACTGTGTCCAATCACTCTCCAGTGCTCCAATGGAAAATGAAGATGGGAGGTGGTCATCCTCAGGTACCAGGGTTCAGGGGTCACTACCACAGAAACTGGGACCCTTTAGCAGTCAGATTATGCTCAGATCCACAGCCCGCAGGGCCCTGGGTACCGGCCACACCTGAGGAAAAGCTCCCCTAGTCCAGGGCCTGGTCCAAATTGAATTGCTCCTGTCTCCAGGTCTTCTCAACCCCATCAGAAGCCTCAAGGTGCCCTGCTCACACAAGGGAAAATAAGCACCCAGGAAGACCCACCAGAACCCAGAAAGACCCACAGAAGTAAGAAGGCCTTGATTAGTTGACCCACACCATTCTGCCCGGCACCTCTTCTCCACCACAGCATAACTACCAAGTCCACTCAGGACACCAAGGCTGCTTCCAAGAAGACCTGAGAAGAACTGTCAGGAGAAGAGCTTTGCTGTGCAAGGTTTCCCAAAACCATGTCAGGGCAGCCACTGGCTATACCATGGAGGCAGGCTTGGCATGCCAACCAAGGCCCAACCTCTACCACAAGAACTGCCCCAGTGGATGATACTTCTCTGCAGGGTAGAAGACACCTGAGTCCCACCCAGGCTGGCCATCTTGCCCCATCCCTTAGGAAGTCTTACACCTTGCAATTTCCATGCCCAAGAGTCAAAGGGACCAACAGGCATGTGCGCAGACCTCAGTTCTACCCAGACTGGCTGGCAGGCAGGCCTCAGTACATGGAACTGTTCAATGCCCCTGCAAGATATCAGGCCACCAAGGCCACAAAAGTCTCCCGAGAACCAGTGGGCCCTCTCATTTGCAGGGAGCCAAGGGCACCTTCAAGGGGACCAAGGTATCCTTGGAAACACAAAGACAGTACCTGCAGCCTCAGGGCAACAGTTTACCCCAGGAAATCACACTGCAAC